AATATACACCAATATTACCCACACGTTACGTCATATACAAGGGATATAACCATTTAATTATGACTCTCTTTCAATATTGGACCGAGTGATCTATCCAAGTTGACGTTTAATAATGGTTGAGTTGTGTTTTTGATATTGTTAATATTAGTCCGAAACGTATTACAATATTGGTCCGAGACGTCTTTTAATATTGGTCCGAGACGTCTTTTAATATTGGTCCGAGATGTATTTTAATATTGGTCTGGGTTGTCTTTTAATATTGGTCCGAGATGTATTTTGATATTGGTCTGAGTTGTCTTTTAATTTAGTTGTCCCATAATTAGTCTGAGTTATCTCAAAATTAATATGAGTTGTCCCATAATTAGTCTGAGTTGTCTTGTATACGCTCGATCGATATTGCCCTAACCTTTCTCAACTATTGACAAAATTAGAAGAACGATTCCCTTTAACCATTCAAATCCCCCAGAAGCAGTTTATGGAGGCCGATACAGCAATGACAGTCAAAGAAATGTGTAAAATATTTCCGCCTGAGGGAGGGGATTTAAAAATACCGATAGATCATATTGGATGTCTGATTATTATCGACATTTAATACCTCATGACTGATTTATAGCTCACTATTTTTAAACGTTTTACGCCAGAAATTGCTTTCTCTGTTATGTATGTACCTAAGATTAAAATAAAACTCCGTTCATAAAGATTTTATAATTTCAATCCATTAGTATTACTGATAGTGTTTAAAAAGTTTTACGATCTTCACTGAGGTTAATGGAAGAATGTGCTTTAACTCGCGATTGTACTAAACTTCGTGAAGGTTCTCACCTAAATGCAATTTTCAACAAGCCTTATAACAATCTACATAATACCCCATACACCCTTCTCCCCCGCCCCAGAAAAAAGGCTACGGTGGTGACGGCCTTGAAAAAAACAGTAAATGATGGTGCATTTAGTATACGCAGTATATTCAGGATAACATGGTATGGAAATTCTCCGGCATTACCGGAAGTAGCTGATTCGTTAAGAATTGGTTATCATGGCGGCCCCTATGACCACTAGCACTCGGGGAAGACATCTGCAGGAATATACCTACCATATTTTGTACCATTGGTATAAGAATACCGGAAAAAGATATACTAAAAGCTAAAATTTCATCGGATGAGTGTCTATTTTTACAAAGATATTCAATAGGAGATAAGATGAATTCTGAAAATTTGTTATGCACAAGTCACAGATCTGATTGGCTCTACAAGCTGTTTTCAATTGACATCTCCAGCCATGACATCAATACAGTTGTGCGACTCAAGTGTCAATAAAAGGTCAACAAAAGAAACATAATTAGCAAGTACTGATTGTTTTAGTCATCATTTTTTTCAGAGTCTGTTTACGAGTGCATCCATAACAATCAGTTCTGGAGAGAATTAAAAATGGGTTCCCTTATTTATGAAAATGAAAATGCTAAAAATCATTTGAATAGAAAGTAGAGAAGCTCCTTTGACTCGGAAAAGTACCAGTTTGTTTCACATGTCCTTAATTAATTCATAATTAACTAAATTAAAAGAGAATTACCAGCAGAATTCCAATGAGGGACCGATCAAGAAAGGTCAAAAAGTCTTTTTGTGCTTATCCAGACTACATACATGGACATTTATGATTGGATAAAATACTTATTCATTTGCGATATTAACATAATGATACCATTAAGAATACATGATAATTCATTTGAAACATCAATTAATCAAAAAGTTTTCTTAATTTGGCACTAAAAAATAAGGAAACCCATCTTTAAAGTGTTTTTTCACATGTGTATACTCATAGATCTTCCTGTGCAAATCAGCGTCTTTAACCATGACAGTCGATTCGGTACAGCGTCTTAAACCACGATAGATAAGTCATAGTATTAAGCATATTCAATAGGCGAATAAGGTTAATAGTGAATTAATGTTTCGTACAAAAGATGTCAAGATTCAGTTTTTTGCCACCTGTACGTTTTAGATTATGAAAAGATAAACATCATAACAACAATTGTCCAGGTGTCTTATCATTTATCTATCAAACTTCTCTATACAATATAAATTACTCAGGTGTCGTTCAGCTTTGATATACCGCTATTATTATCTTTCCCTTCCTTGTCGGCTCGTTCTTCTTTCAAGGGTCAAATTATGCTTTAAGCATCGGAATTTCGACAATCATCATTTTGTGCATGATTTCCTCCAATGTAAAATTTATTACAAATTATGGAAATTCATTGGCAGTGCCGTGGTGGCGAGGTCAAAACCGTGGTTAAGAACTGTTATCACTACTGTGTATATGCTTTTTCTGGTTTGCAAATGCATTGTCTTTGCCAAAAATACAGTTTACACGTAGGCATAAAAGTTCAAAATGAACCAATGAAACCTTTAGAAATACCTATGTTTATCCGAAAAATGCTCGATCACTGCCAAGCTTTGATTGATTGGTTGATTAATTTGTGAACGACAAGACTCAATATCTGCGGTGTGCAATGGAAGGCTCTAAACACCGGAATGTTACTTCAGATTCTTTCAGTTTAGCTGCCATAATCCCATCTCTTCAGTCGGGGTTAAAGCCATTAACCTAGATAGATTTCACTGATACAGGTACAATCCTGATTTATTTCCTTTTCAACTATTCATCTTCTATTTGACCAAGACCACAATGACCACAATAGATAGTTGTGGTCAGCCAAGTGTAGACCTAAATGACCACTAAACAATGGGACTTACTACTGGCCTACACAATTGAAATTTGATACCATTTTCCCATCCCACAAATTTTCTTTTCAATAAAAAGTTATAACCCACAAAAGACGAGATTACCGACATGCTGATTGAACTTGTACTGCACTTTCACATCTCTGACTAGGAGCTACCTCGATCATGTACATATCACTAAGCCAATAATGGTTCATAAAACTGGTTAAAATGGTTGTAATGAGGTTTTGGTTGCTTAAAGGGCATCCAGATACTATCAGTATCAAAGTACCAATCACGATATATATCTGAAATTCGTCATTCTAAAAATGAACTCAAACGATCATAAGTTGCATAGCGTGAAGCTGAGGCTGTTGATACGATTTTAATTTTGGTGATCAATTGCGGATACTGGTTAGTTTTCAATTTGAAAGTAGTGAACTGTCTCTGGGCTTGGATACTATGCTAACATGTTGCGTTGTTCATTTAGCTATTTCAAGTTGGTTGTCCTAAAGGAATCTTGTTACCTTGCCTTTCTGATATTATGAAACAAATACGGTTGAATGTAAATGGTTATGTAACTGCCTATTTGTTTGGTGCAGTGTTCACACACTGTCTTGCTTTGGACGTTGCAGATACCAATTCAGACTTTTGCTGATTGGTGCACCAATATATCTTACTTGCTTTACCATGAAGTGGGAAGGTACAGAATCTGCTGAGCTATTATGTCTCCTCTTCAGTCCAACTATCTGCCTTTCTCTTCATGGTAGAAATTTTAAATGGGGTTTACTGTCGTACACAAACACATATTTTGTTCAATGCCTTCTTTTAGCCAGTGTATTTGGAAGAGATAAGATATCGAAAGCGCTAGTTGCTGATTCAGAAATTATTCCTGGTTTTGGGTCTGAGAAGAAATACATCAAATCGTTTATCAAACTCGTTTTGATATACTTTGTCCTTTGCATGAAATCGCAAATTTGACAACACAGTTGATTATCAATCGAAAATAAGATCGATATTGACTTCGGATATAGTTAATATAGACATTGTTTGAGAATAGTAACCACTTGAAAATGCAATCAAGGTAAATGTATGTAAATATCTTATTGTCGTAGACCATTAAGTAATTTTCCCTGTACCCCTATAGTCGAACATGTAGTTACTGTTTTAAAACAATTCTCTAATCCTAATACGACATGTCAATATTGAAGTCTATAGTAGTTTTAGTACAGTAATCTTCATTTACACTTCTCTTGTTAAATGTTGATTAGGCGTAACGACGGCGCCGGACTGTCTCGATACGGATTAGAAACAGATTAAAGCCCATTGTTACCTGTCCAATGGTCAATTCAAGATGACCACGTGCAGTTTGGTGGGAAAATGTTTTTCACGATTCACGATCGTAACGGTAATCTTGTTAAGTTTCAATAAAATACCGTAAGGTGACAACCTTTACACCATCTTAATCACTCGGAGAACTTTATATTCAACCATGTCATCTTGAAAGTACATTTTGTGAACCGTTACACATTCTTTTTGGTCAGTTAAGAAATATGCACAGGCATAAGCATAGGTTATTTTCAGAGCCACTCTATACTTTTATATCAAATGAAGAAATTTCCATACCATTAAATTATGTAATTTACAATACAAGATATATTTTCAGATCAAATGAATATATCTGTAGAATCTATAATATACAAGATATTTAAACAGTTATTATGTGATAATGTATTGAAATTTAATAATGTTTAAAAACACTCCAACTGAATAAATATAGAATTTATGATAAACAAGATATTTAAAAAGATATTATGTAAAAATTTATTGAATTGAAAAAAGTTTAAATACACGACAATTGAATAAATACAGAATCTATAATATACAATATATTTTAAAAGTTATTATGTGCAAATTTATTGAATTAAATGAATAATGTTTAAATACACGACAATTGAATAAATACAGAATCTGTAATATACATTATAGATAAAAAGTTATTATGTGCAAATTTATTGAATTAAATGAATAATGTTTAAATACACGACAATTTGAATAAATACAGAATCTGTAATATACATTATAAAAAGTTGTTATGTGAAAATTTATTGAATTAAATGATGTTTAAAAACACTACAATTGAATAAATACAAAATCTATATATTTTAAAACATTATTATGTAAAATGATATTGAATTAAATAATGTTTAAAAGCACTTGGAACATATGACGTAGAGAGGCAAAGGGACAGGTGGATTTTTTTGTGAAATTACGCACGAAATAGAAATAGAAATGTGTGTGAGAGCAACTTCCCAGGTCAATAACAACCAACAAACAACACTTTCTTGAAGTATTCCAAACTGCCAAGCGATCGTGCCGCATAAACTATTTTGTTTTTCTTAAAAAATGTCACCAAAGTAATTTAATGTGAAAAGTAAATCATACATATCTTAATAGCTATTATGATATATACTAATAATTTCGACAGTTAAGTATAATATACAAGGCGTCAGACTGTCTACCAACTTCACCCTATTAAACCATAATTTCACTCTCTAATCGGGTTAAGGTGGTAATGAATGAATTAATTAAAGAGTTGTAAACCACCTTTTATTTTAAGTGTCGTATGTAATCGTATTTTTATCAGTTTCGTTAATCTTCAATATCTGTCTTAATCTGCGACGATCCGACGACAGACGACTTCTTAATCCGTTCCGTTAATCCTATCAAGAAAACTTCAAAGGGTGTCGAAACTGTGGAATTGTAAAATTCAAGATAATTTTCTACTCTACTTGAAGCATATCATAAATCGAAATACAACATATATACCATTTTCGCTATAATAAATGAAACACCATTGATAAACCCGGTATACAGGCCAGACCTAGAAGAAGAACGAAAAAGCCGGTATAGATCAGACCTGGAAGAAGAGCTATAAACCTTGTATAGGTCAGACCTGGAAGAAGAACTATAAACCCGGTATAGGTCAGACCTGGAAGAAGAGCTAAAAACCCGGTATAGGTCAGACCTGGAAGAAGATATATAAACCCGGAATAAGTCAGACCTGGAAGAAGAACTACAAACCCGGTATAGGTCAGAACTGGAAGAAGAACTATAAACCCGGTCAGAACTGGAAGAAGAACTATAAACAAGATATAGGTCAGATCTGGAAGAAGAACTACAAACCTGGTATAGGTCAGAACTGGGAGAAAAACTATAAACCCGGTATAAGTCAGAACTGGAAGAAGAACTATAAACCCGGTATAGGTCAGAACTGGAAGAAGAACTATAAACCCAGTATAGGTCAGAACTGGAAGAAGAACTATAAACCCGGTATAGGTCAGAACTGGAAGAAGAACTATAAACCCGGTATAGGTCAAAACTGGAAGAAGAACTATAAACCCGGTATAGATCAGAACTGGAAGAAGAACTATAAACCCGATATAGGTCAGAACTGGAAGAAGAACTATAAACCCGGTATAAGTCAGAACTGGAAGAAGAACTATAAACCCGGTATAGGTCAGAACTGGAAGAAGAACTATAAACCCGGTATAGGTCAGAACTGGAAGAAGAACTATAAACCCGGTATAGATCAGAACTGGAAGAAGAACTATAAACCCGGTATAGGTCAGAACTGGAATCACATAAAATGAATCCATACACTAAAGAAATAATATAAAATTCAACACAATTGTCGTAATTGTAGTGGAGTTTTACGTCATACTTTTCTGCACCATGTGGGCCAGAGAGGACGCGAAAAAGAGATACTCTACTACAGAAGCACTAGCCTAGGTAAAGACTACAAAGAATACATTGTATTTTTTAAAAATTTTATTTGGATTTTCTTGATTGTCATCTATGCAATGAAATTATCCCACGACCTTTTTAATTGGTGCAAAAAATTCAAAATAAATTTCTATCATAGTTCAAGTTTTGGCATGACAGATTATAAACATACAAGTCAGTTTTATTATTTAAAATATATGAATGAAAACCGATTTGTCCAAATAATCATAATGTGGTATGCAGGGCTAAATGATTTATTTTTCTGCCATTTGCGAGTTCTTTACAAAACATAACAATAAGCATTATGTGTCAAATCAAACATTAACAAATATTAAAAAAGTCTTGATATGTCTTTAACAATTGCTTAACAGTACACCTGTGCAATGGTAAATGGGGAAGGGATTTTATTACAGAAAGTCCCATATCATTCATAACAAAGCTAAAAAGAATAGGGCAAAAGAACCCTTGTTGAATACCTCTATTGAATAAAAAAAAATTGGTCAGTCGTCAATTACATGCAGGTGTGTGAGATGACCCCAGTTTTAATCGTTTTTCAGATAAAAATAATGACCACAATACGTTAAGGTTTTGCTATTTTACGCCTCACAGCAATTACCGTAACAAATAGATTTGTTTGAAACAGGTAAAATTCTTTTTTTCGCAAGCTTTTGTTAATCTTCGATAAGCTAACCTCGTCGGCGCCAGTGTGGCGGTGAAGAGATTACTATAAGAAATAAACTAACACCTGGGCATGAGTGTCGAATTTTAAACCCACTTGATTAAAATAATGATGTTTACGGGATAGAAATATTTATACCATAATATTGCCGATTACCCCCGAATAATTGGAGATTTGGTGACAGAAAATACAGCTCATTATAAAAACATTATCTCTTATGTAAAGTGGATTTTAAATAATGCAATTGCAAGGACTAGATAATGATATTGCATAATTTAGAATACATATGAGCTCATCATTATTGTGAAATAATATTTATGTATGAATAAATACAAAACTTGCTTAGCAAATAATATTTGTATCTTACGCCGTAATAAGCTATCCCATTGCATTTTATAATATATCATTTTCTTAGATTGACAATGTACCTTAACCCTCTATATAGCAAATTCCCAATTATTGAATATACATCTATATATCATAATATGATATTCAAAATATTATAGCTCCATTTTAACAACCGATTCAAAACTATTTTTTTTAATTAATTGCTGAAGAGCAGTTATAGTGACACTAATAGGAACTCTTCACCAAGGAGTCGATTTCTGTCATTCGGAAATAAATTTGAATATATAAGTTTTTCTCCTTTTATTAATGACAACAGCCACGTTCAATTGGTCAAAATTAACCTCTTGATCAGTCTATAATGAGGAATATTCAACATTTTTAGTAGATTTTCAAGGGTCTGTCATGTTTTGACATGGTGTAAAGAATATAATGTATTTGATTGTTTTTACTCCAATGCATGTCATGGCAGTTACAGATATCTCTTATCTATTTTATTAACCACTTGCTTCAAACTAATGATTTACTATTGTGAAAATAAAACGCTCATTGTTCGCATAACAAATTTAACCTGGGGACATTACAGGGCTACTATTATCACTGCAACGTTTTCCTTACGTCATCTGATACAGCGATGTGATAAATTTACTCGATTGTTTTTACATTCCTTAACACGTAGCGTTCATGTCACGGAATGCATTGTTTTGCTTACATAATAACATTTACGGCTTAATCTGACGCTAGACAGTCTGGCGCCGCTCTAGGCACTTATATACAGCTTATTTAAGAGGTCACAGTCCGGGTCCAATATAAACCATTACGTTGCTTTTATTTCTAAATTTCCCAATTAACATATAGTATTACCGCCAAGGGAGCGTGAAAGGTTAACACTTGAAAAACATTCTATTTGATGTTTGGAAAGTGTGAAAGTTTGAAAAAGTCGAGCCTGAAATTATGCCATATCAAAGGATTTGTTTCAAAACAGGATACAGAAGGTGTTGAGGTTACTCATTATCTGGAAAGCTCAGAAATTGGCTAATCGTCACCTACATTGGCCCATCCTAAGGGCTGTTGCTACTAAAGGATGACATCTACTATCATATGTAGGTCATAAAAACAACCACTATAATTATACAAGACATGCATATTGCCACCATGATTTTACGAAATATGACCCTGAAATAATTAGTCATTCGAATATATAGTTAACTAATGTCAACTTTAGTCATAATATACTTTTTTGAACCTAATTGACACAAGAAAGCCAAATAAATTCAAGATCACAAAACAACCGTTTGTCCCAGTTCAATGAAAACAGAAGAGCTCATTTGAAAACGAAATCGAATTTCAGACATTTTCGGACAATTATTAACTTTTTTCCAGTAACTTTATTTGAAAGACGACCAAAGAGAATACCAGCAATAATTCTCGAGGTCACTGTCCTGTTTGGTCTTAAACGTTCATTAATCCCAATTCCTGCTAGCACCATGTCATTATCAACTAATCAACCTACAAGAAGTTCCATGGTACCATCTACTAGTATTTCCTGTAGATATCAAAAACAAATCCCGGATGAAAGCAATTATAGACAGAACCAGCATGTGAGATTAGGGCACCATTTAGCGCATTAGCTACATTCAAACGCATTATAAAAGTTTTAAACTCCTTAAACATAATAGCGATGACCAAAGTGAGATATCATAGGTTTCTTTAAAGATCATAAAGATCAAAATGTTAGGATATTTTTGACAAAGTTCAGTACAATATTTAATTATTGGTTAATTTCAATTTAGGATTGCAGAGCACTAAAATTTTAAACAGTGCATATTTATAGGCCATCGCTTAAAAAAAAACTTTCTAGAATCGCCCATTAACATATTGAAAAACGCCTTCCCTGTCTCTATTGGGAAATATCACTTGATTTGGGTACACTGTTATTCGATCCTATTGGCGACATGTTTGTTTGCATTTGACTCATGTTTTCTTTCAACTCGCATTCCACATATATTCGATGAAAGTTTATTTACGTTTCAGAGACAAACAAGGAAACGATTGTTGATTTGTAAACATTGTGATTTCGTTAAACGCTACATGTAAATTGGTACGGGGTTTATTCTTAAGGCTGTACTTGTGGTTTTAACAAATATAGTAATAGCTTATTCTGTTCCCATATACCCCATTTCTTACGAGTTTTCATGGGATGAGTAAATTTCAGACATAATGTTTTGTCCTTGAAAAATCCACAAAATGATTGTGAATCGATTTCAAATTGTCAAATCATCACGAACTGAAACCGCAATTTCTTCAATAAAACAAAACCATCGTGGAAAACATAATAAACCACCGTTTGCATGTTATTTGGTAGCCTACAGATGATGATCTTGTTATTCGTTGCAACCATCAAGAAGGGGAAGCATAATAACTTTCTAACTCTTTAATTTAAATGCACGAAGAAGTCGTTCACAATCAAGTTACTCATATATTCTACCAACAAGAACGACCCAAGCCCCTTATTTTATGTGAAATTGGATTTGGAGTTTCATATAGACTTTGATTAACAATAAGAACACTCTTACTAAAAGTATGAAGCACACAGGGTTGCAACAAAATAAACCAAATCATTAACATAAAACGCCAGTTTTACAATTTCCTTTTTTATCAATATCAAAGCGCAAAATTTGAGTATACATGTATATTGAAAAAATGCTTGATTATCAACTACTAAACTGAACGTTATCCAAAAATTCTCAAATCAATGCCGTGTTCATTAAATGGTATTCGCTAATTTGTCAATTTGACCAAAGCTATCCCAATCAGCCACGAAGCTTAAAGTATAGGCAAAGTTTGAATAATTTTGATTTTATTTTTTGTGATTAATTAGACACGTCTAGACAAATATCTCATAAAATTATTAATTAGGCTTGATATGTAATATATTTATTCATATATAGATCATGTATATAACCTACCCAATGGCAATATCGTTGTCTTTTGGGCAAATCAGTCGAAAAAAAGTTTAATAAATCGAAAAAAATGAAGTTAATGAAACAGGTATGGCTTAAAAATTCATTAAAAAGTAACCGTTTTTATGAATTTTTTGCAATTATAGCTTAAACAGGTTATTACTCGGATATGTCGGGCAAAAAGTACATGTATATGGTAATAAGTCATATTTCGGTTATTAAAAGTGTTACATTCGACCTTTTACTACAGACGATCATGAGTCATTGCACTAATCGATTCTTTTTTATTATACTATTAACTAAAAATACAATGCAATAATTACTGTACTCATTTTTTTTACTCATTCTATGTAAGGCAATTGCATGGGGTTTCTTCCACCGATGGCGATATCATGATAAAAGCTTCATGATAAAAACTCGGACCCTTGGTACACTGCGTGACGTATGGGACTTAATTATTTGAGTTCAGTTGCTACCCTTGGAATTACACAATATCTAAAAAATCATGCAAGAAAAACATAATATGCAAATGCAGTGTTATAACTATCCGAAGTGCTATACAATTACTTTGTATACATCAGCAATGTATCACCTAATATTTTCACATAGAGTAACCTAATCAACTTTCTTTAATGCGAAAATTATATAAGCAATATTTAATTTTTTGCCATTGCTTGAAGCTGTAGACACTATGTAATCGCTCTATAAGTATATTTCGCAACAAATATAATGCATCAATTACTTTGTACAAAATACGTCTGTGTTCGATTATAATGACAGATTCATATAACAGATGATCACTTCCGGGTTGTGTTTTAAACATGTGAAAGTTTCTAAGCAGGAACATATTTAAGCACTTGAGAGAAACAACGTTTTCAAT